CTAAGGAAAATTTGTTAAAGTTCTATCTGCAAGTGTGTCAATGTACGAATTTAGAAAGTCTACGTGATGTGGTTAATTTGGATGTTTGTATGCAGGATAAGACAGATAACATATACATACGGTCATATGTAAAAGCAAACAAAGTTTGAAATTTGTTTGTCTATCACTTTACTACAAGTGTGATGAACCAACTATACCAAAAGCTTAAGCCATTAGATGAAGACCCATGAATGGTTCTACTTACATCCAAATCATCCCCTTATATCCAAGAGCCCCTTGGATGATAATGCACAGCTACACTTCATCTATAATTTTGTTATTGGAATGGAGGGTGGTAAGCAAGGACAGAGTCCAAACCACTTGGCCATAGAAGGCTCTCATGAATAAACTATTCCAAAAGCTTAAATGGTTTTATAAAGTATTACATCTCGCAATATCTTAACCCCATACAGTTTATGATCCTGGTTATTTTCGGCAGTCTGATCATTATGCTTGTTCACCATTGGCATATATAGATTAAGGAAGCCCTCCTTACTTCATTATATTATATGCTATATTTGATGTTTCTTGTTGCAGTTTCACTAATACCTTAACTGGTCTAGCTGCTAATGATGTAGTTCTGAGAACTACTGCAAGATTGGAATCACTTCATTCTGAGGGAGTTCATGTACGGTACATAATATAGAAAAAAATTATTCTTATCACATGAGGTTCTCGTAAAAGTTAATAATATGGGGCTTCTTTTCTTTGCAGAGACTGTCTGAAATGTGCTGTTTTGCTGTGTCCCAACTTCTAGTGTTTGGAAAATCCATCATTTCTCGTGCCAATAAGACTGAGGATGAAGCAGATGATGATAAGGCACACATTGAGTGGCCGGAAGACGTTACTGCAAAAGCGAATATCATAAGAGTAAATGCCCAAACAATGATAGGATATGTGGAAGCAGTTTCTAACAGTTTTATTACAGGTTGGTTGTTTACTGATTCCACCATTATAATCAAACTAAAGTATTCTGCTATATTTGTATGCCTTGAATTTCCATTATTCTCTGCTCATAGCCGTTTATCATTTGACATTTGGCATGCATGTATCAGGCATATCTGATGTAGCGGAGGCCTATCAAGCTGCCATTAAAGCTGTTACTTCTGAGTCTCAGTCAGTTGTTCCCCACGCATCATCAGTTCAGGAAAAAGCCAATGCCTTCTCTGAGAACCTTCGAGCTGATCAAACCACAGCAGTAATCAAAATCCAGGAAGGAATGCAATTTTTAGCTCACGTTCTCATTTCAACCTCAATGAATGCTGCTTGAACACTTATACGTTCCTATTTGTAAATAGTCACAGTATAATTATAAAAATGGTACTCCACTCAACTATGCTATAGTTTAAGTCGGTTTTAGACTTAGTGACTGGGGCAAGTTTGTCCTGATAAATTGATTCTTGCAACCGATTTATTCTTTAATTCCTCAATTCAGTCTATCATATATGAAGAGATTTTAGATATGCACTCGTGTTACACATTTTTAATCAATTATTCGCCGTCATTTGCAGTAGTCCAAGTTGGAATGAATTGTTGATGTGTACATGTTTAGTGGTGTGGTAGCCCTTTTGCGTTCTGTTTACAAGAAAAATTATCACTCTGTTGAAAGTAGATTTTGGATCTCAATTCAAGGAAGTTCAGTGAATTCTTCAATATTAGGTAACTAACTGTCTAAATTATGTTTGGCTGATGCAAAGATTTTGAAAGCTTCGCCTGCCATGTTCTAACCCATTTTACAATCCAAACACTAATTACAGGATTAGGCCTTTTAAATAATAATTTCTAATGACTTGTTCTTCTCAAGACAGCTTTAGTACCTATTCTTGATTACATCTATGCGTGTTAGTAGAACCGGAACAGATACCAATTCACCCGAAATGTTGTAATGATGACTTCAAGGTGTAATAGGGTGATCATTAATTAAATTGTATGAATTGAAATATCTTCTAAAAGAATTTGATCTTGACAAAGAACTCTGACGTCGAAAACAAGGTTTTAAGCCTCAAACAAGAAAATAAAATCAAGAGAAGCAAATGTTTGGTGTATCATGTTTTGTTACAAATAATAGTACAAAAAGTTGTTTTTGGTGATAACGGTGGTATACATCGTATGACTTATGATGGTGAGATCTTTACAAGACTGGGTGAAATTATTATTAGTATACAAATGTCACAATTTCGAAACTAATTTATAATATGCATTTTTTATTTTCATGAAATAAATAAAAACCTTTTCATTGTTTCCTAGCGTTATTTGAAGATAGAAAAGATTTATAAGTTTGAGAAACTTTCAAAGCTCAACTGAAAATCAAATGTTTTACCTTGGATTTCATGAACAAGAATTATGTTGCAGTTCATTACTAGTAAGAGATTAGGACATTCTCATCACTATGTTCAAATATTTATGAAGAAAAACAATCTCGCTAAAAGTTTTTCTCAATTAAAAGAATTCTTTGAATAAGTTACATGCCAATATAAAGCAAATAAGGATATCTTTTCCAAAAAAATTCGACTTGGAGGGTTCCACAAATATAGTTAATATATATGTTGGAGGGTCTACACCAATTTTTAATGTTAGTGTTAGATTGTTTTCATCAATGATCACACAAGAATACGTTGAGTTTATCTTATGAAGTTTAAATCTAAAGTTGTCAACAACTTTTGGAAACCCAAAGCTTGGCCGGAAACTCAAAGAAAGCACAAAATGCAAATGATCAAACGTGACACTAGAACACTGAATAAGTCTTTGCAAATTTTAACATGTTCTTATGAAGAAGCAAATATAAAACACCAATAGCCAGCACCCAACATGCCTCAATTGAATAACATTGTTGAAAGGAAGAATAGCGTAACTAAGTGTTTTTTACATGATAAAGATTTGCCGAAAGCATTTCGGGCGAAGTTATAAACATAATTTATTTGCTAAATCAGTTGCTAGAAACAGGCTTTGCAAAAAAGACATAAGTTGAAGTTGGTTGTGGTTTTACATTCCTCGTATTAATTCAAAGACAAACGGGAAAAGAAATTAGAAGTTGGATTTCTTTTTAACTTAGAGACTTGATCTTAAAAGATTATAGAATTTATTTGTTGTTAGATTGAGTGCTTATTACTATACCACATTAGACCAAAAGTTATTATTAATAATTAAAATGAAACTTTTTTACTATGACTTGGTTCATTTAGCTTACTCAATGAGATGCATCATATAACAAATGATCTTTAATCAATTAAAACCATTTAAAACTCAAAATTTTCGATTTAAATATGTTTTAATATTAAAACAATTTTTAAATAAATTAAAATAGCTTAAAAGTGATTTTAGCATTATTGTTTTGGTAATAAGGTTGATTTCAATTATCTTGTACGCTAAACTCTTCCCAAACTTTAAATTCCTTTGTAATCTAAGTCTTCGTTCCTTTTCTCCTTTAAATCGTATAGCGAGATTATCCACAAAAGGTATTATGATGCTTAAGTCAATTGATGATTATTTGGTAAACAGAGTTAGTTATTAATAACATCATAAATGTAATCATCTATCTCCTTACCTTAAACTTGTATTTATATGTTTTGGAGTGAGCTTTTAATTAGCATCAGTCTAATTATGTCCAATAGTTAAGAAACATATTGAACCTATAATTTTGATTGTTATTAGGGAAATTACCAAAATTACAGCTCGATATGTATCCTTTTATTAATGGTCGTTGTGTTTTTGGCGAACTGCTTTAAAAGGTTTGGCAGGTTATTATCGGAAGTTCGTGGAAGGATTCTCGAAGATAATGGGACCATTAACATAGTTGACCCATAAGGATCAACCGTTTGTTTGGAAGGATAAGTGTGAGGCAAGTTTCGAGGAAATGAAGAGGAGGTTGACATCTGCTCTAATCTTGGTGATCCTAGATACCGAGAAAACTTTTAAGGTGTACTGTGATGCATCATATCAAGGGTTGAGATGTGTGTTAATGCAAGATAGGAGACCAGTGGCATATGCATCTCGTTAGTTGAAGGTGCATGAGAATAATAACAGTTTGAGATTCGGTGAACGATATCGCACAACCCTTTCTCTCGCGTAGGAGGATGCATAACTTCACCTACACTTCACCTACACTATACATATACCATATTAATAATACCAGTAAACAAACAATAAAGACTATTAAACACAGAAGTCCTAATTATTTTATGTTTGAACGAATTTTGATCAGTTTCAGGTGGGAAATTTGCAAAGGGTGTCAAGTTTCCTGTAACCTACATGATGAAAAGAGAACTCTTATTAGTGGAACAAAACATTGTACAAAAGATATGTCAAAATCCATTGTTGTCAAACAAAATAATGTACAAAAGATATGTCAAAAGAACCGAACAACAACCCAAAAATGATTGTGCATGTCAAAATTGAAACTTTACACCCAAAGAACCAAAACAACCCAAAATGATAAAAAAAATTGAAAACCACTCAAAATAACCCAACAACAATAACAAAGAAAAATCGAAACAAACAACAAGAACTTACAAAACTCACGTCAATGGTGGTTTGGACTTTCAACTATGCTTTGAAACGGCGGTTGCAGCAAAATGAATGGGGACGAAGAACGAAGAACGACAGTTGCAGGTTAAGTGAACGACGGTTGGAGGTTCCATGAATGACATCGCACAACCCTCTCTCTCGCACAACCCCCTAAAAACCCACGTCAATGGTGGTTTGGGCCTTCAACTATGCTTCAAAATGGTGGTTGTAACAAAATGAACGACGAACGACGATTTTAGGTTCGACGATTTTAGGTTCGACGAACAATAGTTCGAGATTCAGTGAACGATATCCCACAACGCTCTCTTTCGCACAGGAGGATGCACAACTTCACCTGCACTTCACCTACACGATACATATACCATATTACAAATACCAATAAAAAGACAATAAAGACTACTAAGCACAGAAGTCCTAATTCTTTTATGTTGAATGAATTTTGATCAGCTTCAGGTGGGAAATTTGCAAAGGGTGTCAAGTTTCCTATAACCTACATAATGAAAAAAGAACTCTAATTAGTGGAATATTATCAACATGAAAACAGAAAACATGTAATAATATGAATATGCATGTTATAAAAACTGGAAAGTACNATGACTCAAATGCTTAGAGCTTTCCAAGAAGGTGAACCATGCACATAATTGCCGTAAGATGATTAAAAACGTCATCTTAGAATAACACTATTAAATCAGTCATTTTTCAAGAAAATAGCTAGTGATTTTGCACCAAATTGTTACCATTGTTAATTGCTTTGTTTTTTTCTAGAAAATAATGACACTAGATTGGATTTTAACTTATAAATGGAATAACAAAATCATGGTAGTGTTCATACTGATATTTCAACCCCCATTAAATTGCCACTACCACACACGCAGAAAAACACACAGATTAATTAGTTATCTCTTGTTAATTTCAAAACACTGTCATTATTATATGGAAATTATATGAGATGTGATTTCTTGGATGGTTTGCATTAACTCATATTTTCGTAATTATAGAAGAACTGTTGGATAATTCTTTTAATTATAAAAGAATGTGAAGTTTCTATTATTACTAATATTTAAGCTAATAATTAACTAATATAGTTTATAATATATTAATAGTGTACTAATTTATTATTTTTTTAACAAATTAGATGATTAAATATATAATTAAATTATAAAAGTACTATTTTTAAAATTATGTGATTAAATAAAAATTAATTTTTTATAAAGATTAAGGCTGTATAATGACAGTAGAAAATGAATCTAAGCCACCCAGAATATAACTGAGACAATCATATTCAATTATTGTTCAGCTTATCATGATTAATAGTTATGATAGTTAAATTTACTTTGACTTTTTTTTTCTTGACTTAATATGTGCATTTTTGTTCATCAAATGCTAACCTGGGTTGTTGTGTTTTTACTAGGCTCTTTTAGATATTGTTTTTATGAAATTAAGCTGAAACTAAATCTAAAAAATTCATAAAATATTTTCAACCATTGCCTATATCACATCTACACTTAACCACCAAAAGTTGTAAACATATACTTCATTTGATTCCATTCCACCGCCTTATTTTGAGATAGGTAAAATTTTTCTATTAAACTATTATACAAATATTTTTATAAAAATTCCTAATTTTTTTTATCTCTAGTGGTGTGGGTGAGAACTGACAATATTTTATGTAGTACTATATACAATTTCCAACCTCGCTGAATCAAGATTATAAATACATCACAACACTATTCACATGAATGCATAGAAAAATTAAGCATTATATATAAAACGCTTCAATGAAGCCACGTTATTCTCTTCAATCTCCCTACCTCGATAGGACACTCAGGTACTTCAGTTTTTATACTTATATTCATTACATTTTCTCATGTAAATACACAATAGAGTCTTTTGTACTTGCCCTTTAAAATTCCCACCCACTTCAATCTACAAGAATTAGTGTGTATTGCTTCTTTTATTGCTGTGAATTGTAGTCGTATA